GAAGTGTGGTTGGAAGATAATAACGACTGATAGCTAATCAAAGAATATGAAAAGGAATTCAATGTTGTAACATATATAAGTAAGACGGTAGGTAAGTAGGAAAAACATAATATTTGAATGTTAGTAACGACAAAAACGTTTCATACCAGTAGAATATGAACTAGAAGGATCCTACAATAACTTAGAATATTCCGAAATTCTTATTATCGGACAGTTTCTAACTCTCCACCTGAGCAGTCTCTAGTTGCATTAATTTTTTTTGGATCGTGATCCAAGGCATTTCCTAGACTCAGTGTGCGTAACATCATTAATGTTGTGACGATCAAGAAAAACTCAAGAGACACATTTCTTGATCATTATGAAGAAGGAATATCAAGCACATAACAAATGAAGGCGAGTGAAGCACTGTTTGTACTGTGACATGTCAAATGTAAACTTCCAGAAGCTATTCTGTGGTCAAATAATTGCAGATTGTGACATGACGACTGGGTACCAATCAGTTGTATGTTGGATGGAACATCTTCAAATGAAATGCGTCCGAATGGTGTGCAGACATCAAGAGCCTAAACTTATTCAACCACTGAATAGTGATCGCACCTCTCTTCTGTTTTCTGTTTAAGTAATAATCATGTCACTGACTATGCCGATCGTTGCAAGGATAGACTGGGGTATCGATACATACAAGCAAATGAAACTTGCTGAAAATGTTCAGTTTCCCGTGTGTAGGAATTATGGGCGACATTTTTTTAATGGTGATTTCGTTTTCATCAAAAACTATAAATACCCGACAGTTTCGTACCATAACTAACACTTTTTGAAATAATATTCCATTCCCTCGTCTTCTGTCTTTTTTGCGACTTGGGATGTTAGAAGCGTTCGAGTGCTCAAGTTGTACGCGGTATACTAATAATCTAAGTTTGAGATATAACAACTGCCGACGGGGTTATTTTATCGAGATGTCATTTACCTCTGAACGATTTGAAGCCTTTACTGAGGCGTGAAGGTTAAACGTTTTTAACAGTCCCAGATTCGTATTATAGATACTCTAACACAGCAAATGAACTTAAATCAAAGTGGGGTTACAGATGATCCTTTCAAATCTCATGTCGACCACATCAACAATTTAATTTCGATGGTTCGGCTGGCATTACTTTTGAATCCTGATTCAAGAAATACGAAGATTTGTTCAAGGTGGACCTCAGAAAACTTCATGACGCCGCCAAGGTTAGAATACACTTAAGAAGACGTGTCACGGTCGATCGTGAACGTTCCAGCAACTTCATCCTTTGAAAGAATCCAAGAGACTTTTCTTCTGACGAAACGTTTGATATTTTGCAGCAGTTCTTCGCTGAACAGACATCTTAGTTAAATATTCTTTATCAATGTTTCAAGATTATGAAAACAAGTGATAATGACTGGGTGAAGCATGTGGGTTTAGTAAACCGTGAAGTTTAGCGATTCAAACTTTCAACAATGACAGAAGATCAGTTTTAACTGTCTCTTGTTTGTGTGCAGTCAACAATCTCCTGAAGATGCTGATGTTAGAACCAGAATTTTGAGTAAAATTGAACAAAGCCCGAATATAACACTATAGGAAGTAACCACAGAGTGCCAGAGATTGGTAAACTGGAAACACGACACTTCCATGGTTGAAAATAATAACCCGTTGTCATACGTTTGTGTTGCAAGCGGAAAGATTTCTGCCCAAGAAAAGTATCGTGCACAGACAGCCAGACCCCATCTTCATGCTGGTGAGGATACAACGGATATTCTAGTTTTACAACTAGCAACCAGTAGTATCTTCTATAATCGATCGTTCCCAGTCGAATAGAAACCAGAAGTCAGACTAGGAGAGACAGGAAAGATATATTTGATTCGTTACCAATATATCGAGAGACTTCATTCTTAACTGGCTATTGTAACGTAGGAGCTGTGTCCCACACCGTGTTGCAACGTGATCTGGTACGGATGCATGACCGAAAGCCTTCAGTTAAACAAGTCCACTTAAACAACGTGGTCAGCATCCAATGTCGAACACTTAATCAGCTATTGATTTTGGGGAATTATTTACAGCTACACTGGTCATGTGGAGGTTGGCATTATAATAGGCTCTGCCCATATAAAGATCAATGGTTGAAGATCCCACAGATATTGTTGTTTGACAACACATAACCAGTACCACCTTCTATAATTGAATTGCACCCACCCAGTGAAATCGAAAGGAGGTTGGAAGATATATTTAATGGGTTATCAATATATCGAGGAGTGACTGATCTAATCTGGCTAGAGATCTCAGGAGATGCTTCCCACGCTGTTCCGAAAAGTAATCTGGTACGGATGCGTGACTGAGCGCCTTCAGATAAATGATTCCGCTAAAAATAATGTAGTCAGCATCCAATGTCGAACACTTACAGAGCTATTGATTTTGGGGATATACTTACAGCTATAGATCATCCCCCCCCTAGTGAGGTAGTGATGACCCTACGACGTAGCCAGCCAGAAGTTTAAACCCAACGAGTTTGTTATTGGTAAACACTCTTCTGATAGCTTGTTATGTTAAGCAGCGTTTGGTCGTCTTTCCTTACTATAACGGGCCAGGAAATATAGAATAGTAATCGGGAAACAAAGTACAATCGAAATCTCGGTTCTTCATAAACTTCATCGTTCTTTTCCAGCCTTCCTGAAAAAAAAGAATGTGTAAGTGCATGTCACAATGCACTCGTACTTGCGTAAAGACACAAAGCGAGCGAAAAATATGTAAATAAACTAATACGCCTGTGACAGCGTAAAAGCGACTGAAAGAAAAATGTCTTTTTTTGTTTCTGTTTTTTTTCAAATTCAAATATACGCTTATTAGTAAAAACATTTTTTGGAATAAATATATAAGTATAAGCATATTACATTTTTTTATTATATATAACGCAAAGGAAAATCGAGATAAAGCAAAATGTTAGCTGGTGCCTTACGTGCATCAGTCGTTTAAATGTTCCGTAAACCTTACTCTTCTTCCAGAACGCGTTGTCTTAAGTTTATTTTCAGATACTGACAAAGTATCAACGTGCGTGTTGGGTGTCGGATAAGGTACTTCAAGTGTAGGGGCCATGTCGTTCGAATGTACCAAAGGAAAATCGATGTGTATAGGATTTCTTTCTAAATGCGCTGCTTTGATTCGATCGAAACTGATGCTATTGTCGGTTCCGTTCTTATGGACTATATAGTACTTAGGTTCACGCTGAAGAATTCTGAAGGATCCTTCGTATGCGGATTCGAAAATTCGTTGATGTGAGTCTCAACGTACAAAGACATGTCTACTATATCGTAAGTCTGGTTGAATAAACACATCAGTTGATTGAGGTTGGGTGGAAACAGGTTTAACTGAATGCATTGAGTTTGTAAGCCTGCTCATGTAGGAATTTAGATCCATGTTCATTGAAGAAGATGAAATATCCACGAATTCTCTTGGGAGTCAAAGTGTCTTTCCATAAACGCGTTGAGCTGTAGTGTATCCAATGTCAGCTTTCACTGCACTGAGAATACCTAGTAAGACGAGTGGAAGAGTGTCTGTCCATTGTGAAACGTTTGCAGCTGATAACGAAGCTTTGAGTCGTCAGTGAAAGCGTTCTACCAACCCGTTTGCTTGCAAGTGGTAGGCGGTCGTTCGAAATCGAGTTATTCTCAAAAGTATAGTCAGGCAACGGAAAATTTCATATTCGAGCTGGCGTCCATGGTCTGTAGTGATAGTTGAAGGGCAGCCGCAGTTTGCTACTCATTGTTCGACGAAGGCGCTAGCCATTGTTTCAGCAGTAATGTCCTTGACGAGTACTGCTTCTGGCTACCAAGTGAAACGGTCCACGCAAGTTAAGAGATAGTAGCATCCATTTGAATCTGGTAAATGTCCTATTAAATCCATATAAACATGGCCTAAGGGACATTTTTTTTGTCTAATCACCTTCGATTTCTGGCAGCTTACACAACATCGTGCTCACTCCCTCATGTCTTTATTCAAACCAGGCCAGCAAAATCGTTCTGCTACGAGATTGATGGTTGCACGAATATCTGAATGAAAAGGTTTGTGTAACGTATTGAAGACGTTTGGTCAATCATTTTTCGGCACGAATTGGCGATACCTACCTGTAGATGTGTCACAACATGAGACAATAAAATTGCATGTTTCATTTCAGACTGATTAATAAATAAATAGATAAATCTATCAATGAATCTTTGGAAATAGTTGAATGAGTACTGCAGAGAAGTCTCGTACTAGGACGAAACGACCGTTCAGTGCTTCCATGTTTTCCATAGTGGTCTAGCTATAAATGACTTATTAATTTAATTATTAAATTACTACTATCTTCAAAAACCCTTTTCTAATAATTTTTAGTAATCTTTGACTCTCGAAGGAATATTTATGGTTACGTATAGTCTATTTCTCATTTAATTACATATTGTATTATATCTAACATAATTCAACAAATAATAAAATATATCAGAAGGGGTTTTGTGGAGATTTCAGTATTTTTCATAGTTGAAATCATGATTCAATTAAAGCTGGATCACTGGTAGGTTTGGGTAGGTACTGGGTTCGAATCTATCGAGGTGGGATGGTGGATGCGCACTGACACTGAGGAGTCCCACAATAGGACGAGTTGGCCGTCCAGTGCTTTCAGCTTCTCCATGATGGTCTAACTTCAATGAACTCATGATTTCAACTATGAAAAATAAAATCTATGTTTCTATGTAAATTTAACTAACATTATTTGTTTATTTTTTCAATAGAATATATATGTAAGAAACAGGAAGTGTACAAAGTCCACATAGATCATTAAAGCTAAATATTATTGATTAAATTTATCAGTAAAGACAGATATATCAAAAGTGTAACCGAATACAAATGAACTGCTACACATTCATTTAGTTATTTTATTTACCTATTTTTATATATGTATGCATATCATGTATATATAATAGTAGACTAAACGTAACAATAGTGCTGTTATAAAATGTATATTCTATTTGTATTACAATTGTTTCTTAATTTGAATCATGTTAAAAGTTGGAATGTATACGGCTTCAAAGAATCTCATATACCAGAACAAGTACATATTGCTTTAGGAGGTAAGTACATCATTTTGTTGTTAGTTTAGATTGTAAGCTATCTATTAGTCAATTTTTTTTATGAATAGTATTCTAAGCCTAAATTAAAAGCTTCTATGAAAAGATAGCTTGACTATTTGATGGATTTAAATTTCAATACTAAGGTGAAAACTCAACTGAAGATGATAGTGAAGTACATTCATTTCTGATACTTTATTTTAGAAGTACCATCATATTAAGTCCATATAGTGAATGAGTTAGAAAATTCTAGAACTCCACAACAATAACACTAAACATTTTATGGCAATACGTAGTATAACAACTCCGCCTGTCGCTCTTCTAGAGTTACTGCCGGTCCCAAGCCCGGATAAAAGAGAGGGGTTTGGCATGGGGTTAGCTATCCATTATTCCACGGAAATGTAACTCGCTAAAAATACACTAACAAGAAAAAGTAAGTAAGCAAGTAATGCAGTAAAACAAGTTAAAATCAATTTATTTTTTGAGTTGAGGCATATTTGAGAGTCGATTGAAACAAAAAATACGCAAAGGATGGGTGTATATCTATTTAATTATACTTACTTATTTACGCCAATCGCTTATCGTGAAGGAGCATTATCCGCCCATCAGCATTCTCCATCCAACTCTGTTCTGGGAAACTTTTCTCAGTTCTTTGCAGTTGCTATTCATCCTTTTCATGTCTCCTTCCATTTCTCTACTCAGTGTGTTCTTTAGCCTCTTTGACATTTAAAGAATGTCAAGATATAGTCTCGGTGAATTATCAAAGTGTTCACAGTCTAGTATGTTTATTGTTGTATTGATTCCCAAACGTTAATTTAGCATTAGCCACTTAGATTTGACCGATATTCACGTAAAAATATAAGTAGAGCTTGGTATAAATAGACTATAAAATGTGTTCAGATTGTGTACATTACACATATTATTTTAAGTAAATGATGAATAGATTTTGTTCGGCGGCAAAATAATGATATACATTATTATTATTTTTATCAGTAAGGAGTTGTGGAGATTATTATGTTTTTGATTGAGATCATGAACTGATAGATATTAGATCACCACTGAAAACCTGCAAGCACTAGACGGCCGTTTCGTTCTAGTATGCGACCTCTCAGCAGTGCGCATCCAAGATCCCACTCACGGAATTCGAACTCAGGACCTTCGGTCTTGCGCGTGAACGCTTAACCTCTAGATCACTGAACCGGCATCCAACGGTGCTAACGTCTAACCTTAACCGATCCATGAAATCGCGCGACCATCTATTGTTATTATTATTATTGTTATACTAAACGATAGATTTATTTAAAGTTATTATGTCAAGCCTTGGTATTGATAAGTGTTTAGATTACTTTTATTTCAATACATTTATTCATCTTAGTTGAAATCATAATTAAATACAAACAGGGGGTTTTAAATAGTAAACCAGTTTATTCATAATAAAAATCAGTCGGAAATATTATGTAACACCTCTTTGCAGCTAGGCATTGAAACAGTGTTAACTGTTTCTGTGAACATGATTCGACTCTACATTTTGATGTATCATTTTTGTAAACATGTTTAACATCACATATATAACAATATTTTTGTATTATAGAGCAACCATCAACTATAAGTATTACATGGGTTACGCAAGAAAATACAGAGAGTTCAACTGTACTCTATGGTACTAAGCTGTTAAATATGAAAAGTACTGGTTATGTTAAAGAGTTTATTGACGGAGGACGTGAACAACGTAAAATGTATGTACATCGAGTGATTTTATCCGATTTAATTGCTGGCACAATTTATTGTAAGTTTAAAAATCCCTGTATACATATAAATTATTTTTTTCCTTTACTGATATCCGAATTTCGTTAATGTGACAACCTTTCTGAATATATATCTCTTAGTTGTAGATGAATCATACCTGATATTTATTCATCGTTTCATAGCTCTTTCGTTAAAGTAACTAGTAATATATCTAAATTATTTTTATCGGAAGGCGGTTTTGTAGAGGTTTTGGTAATTTTATAATTGAGATCATGAGTCAATTTAAGCTATACCAGTATGGAAAATCCGAAAGTACTGGACGGCCATTTCGTCCTAGTATGGATCTCTTCAGCAGTGTAATCCACGATCGCGCTCGCAGGATTCAAACTCAGGACCTGCGCTCTCACTCTCTAATGATTAATCTCTAGACCACTGAGCTGGCGTCCAACGGTGTCAATGCTTTACTTCAGTCTATCCTTGAATTGTTCGCAACCATTGTCTTAGGTAAATACCTGTCTCTACCCGGCCACTCAGTGGTCTAGAGAATAACCATTAGAGAGTGAGAGCGCAGTCCTGAGTTCGAACTTTTTTATTTATTTTATTTAAACACATAAATATTGGCACAACGAAGCACCAGATAAATATGCGCCTCACAAATCTCATTTATGAGTTCGAATACCGCGAGCGGGATCGTGGATCACATTGCTGAGGAGATCCATACTAGGACGAAATGGCCGTCCAGTACTTTCAGGTTTTCCATGGTGGTCCAGCTTTAATTGATTCATGAACTCAATTACAAATTATTTTTGTTGAATAATCATTTATCGCATAAACATTGCAAGGTTTCAGGTATCAGTACCAAGGTTGAACTTGATGGTTTTAAATAAATTGAGCATTGGGTAGAGTTAATAACAAATATATTTTTTGTTATATCACAATGATTAGAAAAGTTGTATTTCTGACGTTTCTTGATTTAATATAAGCCACTTTATTTAATGTTGATTATTTATTTACTCTGAAGAAATGGCTTACATTAGTTCACAATATGTCAGAAATACAATATTTTTACTCATTGGGATATTACAAAAATATATTTTCAGAAGTGGGTTTTGTGCAGATTTTAGTAATTTTATATAGTTGAAATCATGAGTCAATTGAAGCTAGACCATCATGGAAAGCCTGGAAGAACTGGACGGCCGTTTTGTCCTATTGTGGGACTCCTCAGTGTCAGTGCACATCCACGATCCCGCCTCGCGAGATTCGAACCCAGAACCTATCAGTCCGACGCGCGAGCACTCAATCACTAGACCACTGCGCCGGCATCCAACGGTGTCAATGTCTAACTTCAATTAATTGAGCAATCATTCAGTGGTCTATCAGTTAAGTGCTCGCGCGCGAGACTGATATGTCCTGGGTTCGAATCTCTCCAGACGGGATCGTGGATGTGCACTGAAGCTAAGGAGTCCCACAATAGGAGGAGTTGGCCGTCCAGTGCTTCCAGGTTTTCCATTATGGTCTAGCTTCAATTGACTCATGATTTCAACTATATAAAAAATATATTTATTATTGTAAGTTTTTAACTTAAATGATCATTTCAGTATACGAACATGATCACGTCTTTTTAGATCGACATTATACATATTAAGGTTAGTTCAAATCAGATTTTTATAAAACGTTTTTCGTAATAGTAATTCATCAAATGATTTTTCTAATGCCAAAATGTTCCTAAACACTACAGAGTGTAAAATAGTGATAGCTGATAGAGTTTCTTACACATTGTTGTCTCCTCAGAAATGTCAAATTGTCAATTTCTCAAGGCTACACCATTGAGTTTAGAAAAGTCATTAATTATTCGGATTTAGTAACTTAAAATGAGTAATTCTGTCCGAAGCCTTAGTTGAACTATTGTGGTCTCAATTATGGGTAAGGGAGGAAGGCTAGGTCAAGAGTGAACAATCCCACACAGTAATAAGAACATTTTTAACTAAACGCTTGCTGGTATAAAACCAATGAAATTTCAGACTGGATGCCACTTTTTATTTAGTAAGATTGCGATTTAGAGGTTTAAGGTAATAGCTAGCATGAAACTTTGGTTTTAAGTTTATTATTTATCGCCCTGAAACACTTGGAACTAAAGTCAAGATCCTACTCTGTAGTTTGGCCAATAGTATACGACTACTAGATTTGACACATGAGAATGGCTGCCATTCAGTGGTCGATAGCCGAGATCTATGAAAAATCATCAACTGATAGACAACAAATTAATAGCATCCCTGACAGAGTCGAGATAATTATGGGTCTAAAATTTCCTCTCAGCAGAGATTAGTAGTACTAGATGAATTTTATCATATTTGGTATAGTTTCCGGATAAGTTACCTCATTGCTAACACACAAGCACAAACAATGAAGTAATCAATATTATTTTATCTGGATCTAGTAATTAACTGAGGACTAAAATGATCTTTCACTTTAAGTAATAGTGTCAGATGTCAAACTCAAATAGTCTTTGAGATCATCATCTTTTTTCGCTTTGTAGATTATAAATGTGGTAGTTTAGATGGTTGGTCAGATGTTTTAAATTTTCGTGCCCTGCCATCTCATCCTTATTGGTCACCTAAACTAGCAGTCTATGGAGATATGGGAGCAACTGATGCACCTTCACTACCAGAATTAATTCATCAAGTCAAAGATTTAAATAGTTATGATATGGTCTTACATGTTGGTGATTTCGCCTATAATATGGATACAGTAAGTAACTAACATTCAACCTAATTGATAACAAACAATGGAGAAAGACTAATCTCGTATTTTAAAGGAGTAAAACAAGTAAACAAATATCTCCGGCGAAAATATGGTATATGCAACACTGTTTGAGGATTTTTAAAATCAAATACCAACGGTGTTCATGAGATTTCAGAAAAATGTTGTTTTCTAGTTTGACACAACTTTTAGAACCAATCCAAGGGTATAACCAACGATCACTTCTATATATGTTGGTAAGCTCTCATTAACAGCATGGAAATTATTCCCGATAAAATGTTTATTCCAAAAAATAAGATAAGAAACATATATGAATAAAAAATTCACTTAGTATTGTTTGGTTGAATCTCCCCATTGATGTTTTAGGACTGCAACTGGTCAGGACTCAGTGGCCGAGTGGATAACGAGAGGGCGTTTGGAGCGAAAGATACTGGGTTCGAGTCCCACAATGAACATCAACTCTGTGATGCAGGTACGTCCAGGTGACGAGTCCTAAATAGGACGAAACGCGCGTCCTGGATTCCACTGCTAGCCACTAGCCATCTTTGCTTACCATATATGAATAATGTTTGTTCAATGACTTGTATACTTTGTTAATGACATTTTAATGATAGTTTTGAGGCCTAATAATTTAAAACGTGTATAAACCTTGGAAAATAAATTTAGAAATGTTCTTTAATCAGTAAAATCATGATTAGAAGTAATATAGTTGGTTGAATATCTTTTGTAGGTTAGTTCATCTATCAACTACACAAATAGCTTCCGTATTCTGGTAGAGATAAAAATAATGGATTTCACTTTTTTGATAAAATCATTCATAGGTCAAACTTAAAATATCCGCTAGTAAATGTTCATAGACACAATCAATTATTTATTTACCAAAATGTTTAGTGGCCCTGAAATATTCGACTCCAGTTAGATCGGACGAATGATCGTTGTCGAATGACTGCTGTCGAAATATATATGTCGCCAATCCTCGTATATAATCATCGGTTTGAATGGCGTTGGTGAATAACAGAATTAAATAAGTCAAATACGAGAATGAAGTTTTGAATACATATATTTTTGTACACTCGTTGATCTAGACAATTAGGGAGACGAAGAGAGGGAAGCGAAGAGAAGGGAGCAGAGCGAAATGACGTACAGTGGATATGGCGTGTGGGCCAACCCGATCTAATCAAGCGTTAATCGATTCTTATAGTCACACAAAAATAAGTTACAGACATGTGATGAGTAGGCTATGATGTACAAACACATACGCTCATATAAAAACAGTCAAGGTTTATGAGCGAACGATTGACAAGGTCAAATTGTGACCAAATAGAATAAATAAATTGTCTTGTTCGGAAGGTGGAATAGGTTATGTGGGCTTGACATAGCAACTGACACTACAAATAACATTTCTTGAACAAATACTGATATGTTTCTACGATCTATTCATTGAATTTTAGTGTTTGAATTTCAGGAAACAAAAGTAGTTTGATAAGCTGGTAGATATGTACTTCATTTATTTAATTAATGAGTCTAAAGTGTAAATGTAGAAGTAACAAAATTAGAAGTCATTTTATTACTGGATAGATATAAAAAACATCAAGATGTATCATTATTATTATTATTAGCTTTATTCAATATTATATTATTTGGTACAAAATCGAATTCTCAGCATAAAGTATTTCAACATGTTTACGTTTCTTATTTCTTCGTTGCTCCTGATGATAAATATTTAGTGATCGCCAGTTAGATGTCAGCAGTTCAGTCAATCGACATATGAATAATGTATATTCTTTTTGCTGCATGTTCCCAGCAAACACGATATCTCTGATTAGGCCTTTTGTAACCTTTACAGCGAAAGGTTGTACAGTTTTCAGAAACGCACCTGGAAAATTTGTGTCCTTAATAGCCATAATGATGTATTAAAACAATATTAGATAACTTGTTGAAATATATAGATGACAGGAACAGGTAGCCCAGATGTTTAAGCAGGCCGCCCAAAAAGGTATCATGTATCTACCTTTCAGATTAATTTGGAAATATATGTTAATATGACATTTTCCCATAGTAAACTTTGTAGAGATTCACTTGGTATTGTTTGTTTGGATCTTCTCATTGTTGTTTAAGTCTGCAACTGGTCAGTCTCTTATTGTCATATGTGCATACTGTGCGTATTGCCTTGATATAGCTTCAATTCACAAGCATTATAAGCAAAGATGGATAGTGGCTAGCAGTGGAATCCAGGACGTGCGTTTCGTCCTATTTGGGACTCGTCAGCTGGATGTGCCTCCATCTCAGATTTGAGGATCCAAACAAACAATACTAGGTGAATTTAAACTTCACTTTATTCGCAAGACTCAGTAGCTGAGCGGATAACGCTATAACGTTTGGAGCGAAAGGTACTGGGTTCGAGTTCAGGCTTGAGTGAACATCAACTCTGTGATGCAGGTACATCCAGCTGACGAGTCCCGAATAGGACGAAACGCGCGTCCAGGATTCCATTGCTAGCCAATATCCATCTTTTTTTCTAAAGATGTTATTTCTTAGCCAGATGACCAAGTGGATCCAACAATAAATTATTAAATTTGACTTAAAAAGCATTTATAATCAAGATGTTCAACAATAGTATAAACATTTACCCTTAACTCTTTACAATTTCCCCATTGATGACACTCGACTAAACAAGACACTCTTTTTGAGTGTAGTAAAATTCTTGATAAAAATGTTCATCCTCAATTTCTAGACTATATTATTAGTAATTGTAACCTTCATGTGTCATAATTGAATACTTATCTCACTACTGCGTTACTTAAACCGCTGAGTATAAGTTATAACCATTCAATTTATTAGAATAAAAGTAACGTTGAAAAATACTTCTGCAATTTGATACATGTTTTCAATGGTGAAACTAAAATTTCAGGATAATGCAAGAGTTGGTGATCAGTTTATGCGTAATATACAACCAATTGCATCAAAGATTCCTTATATGACATGTGTTGGTAACCATGAAGCTGCTTAGTAAGTGAACAAACTATTTGTAATTTAGTTTATTTCCAATTTGTTCCTTATTTTTCCACTAAGAAAATTAAATAGTAGTGTTGTGGTGTGTGCTATTGATGTCGACAGATATAAGCAGCATTGTTGATGGCGTTGAGTCTCTATTGTCTATGATCACCACTACAATAAGATTACGCGTCAGAAAATGGTTTGGTTCCTTTGGTAGATCGAAAACCAGAAGGCCTTAATTAGTCCAGATAAAGCATATTAATTGGCGATCTCGTGATATCGATAGAATACCGAAACGTGCCAAAGGGTACAGGCGAAAAGGCAGAGCGTAAGAAATTTCGAACGAACAAGATGGACAACGGAAAGAAAAGTGTTTTTGATAAAGTTAAACAAGTACAGTAAAACAATCACTGGTACAATTGGTTATAATTATAATTGTTTCCATTATACCAATCGCGTTCTCGTCGTGAAAAGTCGGTCACTACAGTATATATCATTAATTGAAAGTGAAATACCTGGAAGCAGAAGGTTAAGAAAATCAAAGAAAAGAGAATGAAAGGAAACGATGAGTAATATGGAAACGAAAGGACAATGACGTCTGAGAAGATTGACTGATATTTGCAAAAGGATTAGTCAAGTTTGAGACGATTGATTAACATTTTACAAATTAAGTATTGACTGTATAGTTATCAGATCTTACTAAGGTATTCTGTAATTTTGTGTTTAAATGCGTTCGATTGTCTTCACTTGTGTTCTCGTTCACTACGGTGTAACATTTTGTGGTCTTAATCACTGCAATTTATTTTGAAATCCATTACATGGTACACTAGCATATTAACTTCGTGAAGAAATGAATTAGGTGGATAAACGGTGTTGAGTTAAACGATATTTAATTGGTTGACACATAATTTCTCAAATAAAATAAAATCCACACTACAATTTCAAAAATATTCTCGGTTAATCAGGATTAAGCACGGTTATGTACGGTTTTTACATCGCACACACAAAATACATATGTTGGTTTTCTTGTGGACCGCTGAGAAACTGACCAAGCTAATTCACTTACATCTGACCATAGTTTACTTTGGACTCTTCTAAGTGCTTAAAAAATAGATAAACTAATGCTGTCGTATCAATTAGTTGTTCATCAAGTCATATGCATCAACGCATCTTTATATTATCTTATCAATTTGAATACTAACGGTATTTGTTATAACGGTCGTTTTCCTTTTTTTATACGAATGAGAAGTTAATTTACCTGAGACGAATATCTACACTAGATTCCCTCCCAGTATCTACTCTACAGGACTTCAACACAACTCAGATCAAGAACACGTGATTAGCCTAACTAGAACCTAAATATATTTCAACACCAAAACCCGACACAATCCAACAATAATAAACAATCAATCAATAATTAATAAATAATAAGGATAGGGGAATATATAACTCATCTGACACATATCAGACTATCTACAAGTCTGACTAAGCAGACAACCAGTCATTATCATTCTCACTCATATATCAGTAAATAAAGAAAAATGTTTTGTACTGTGCGCACGATAACTCGATGATAGAAACTCAATTATCAGAAGGGGGTTTTGTGAAGATTTCAGTCCAACTACAAAATTACTGAAATCTCCACAAAACCCTTTCTAATAATAATCAACATCAATCAGGTCTGTTTTGAGATAGTAACTCACTGAAGACAATGGTGAATGGTTGCTCAATTTTGTGGATTGGTTGAAGTTAAATACTAACACCGTTGGATGCCGGCTCAGTGGTCTAGAGGTTAAGTGCTCGCGCGTGAGACTGGTAGGTCCCGGGTACAAATCTTGCGGAGCGGGATCGTGGATGTGCACTGCTGAGGAGTCCCACAATATTATGAAACAGCCGTCCAGTGCTTCCATATTTTCTAAGGTGATCTAGCTTCATGAAAGTCAAATGACAATAATTCCTTAAAATAATTAAATAAGTTTTTATGATCTAACAGGTAACTAGTTTATTTTTATCAAAACTCTTTTTTTAGTAATTTCTCAAATTACAAAGCAAGATTCACAATGCCTGGAGGAGATGGTGAATCACAATTTTATAGGTAAATCAATATTGTTATCCAATGATACTAAAAATTTATCAATACGAATGAACAAATTGCTAATTTATATTATTTTTTCAATGTTTCGTTAATGTCACATTAAGACTGAAATTTGGTCTCTGAAATCATTTAAATAGGAATAATATATTTGTAGAATCTCAGCAAATGAATTCGAAGTATATCCAAAGTTTCGCCTTGTAATCTGGTTCAAGCTTTTTCAAGGAAGATATTTTCAGATTGCCAGGCGAAACGTTGGATCTACTTAGAATTCATTCGCGAGATTCTACAAGTATATATTATTCTTATTTAATGTCTTACATCAACTCGGAGCCCAAATACTGTGAAACTATTCACTCTAATTTAGACAAAAGTCCTTTTGTATGTGTAATCGTTTGTTTTGATGTTAAAAATATGTTGACGCTACAGATGTAGGGTACCTATTATTATTATGAATGACTTTATTTAATATTATATTTCCGGTACAATACAGAATTCTCAGTGCAAAGTATTTCAACAAGTTTCCTTTTCTTATTTCTTGATTGATCCACATGATCAATATTGAGTGATCTCCAACTAGATGTCAGCAGTTTACGAATCGACTTCAGAATAATATTCATTCTCTTCGATGTCTCTAACTTTAATTCTTTGTAATCTGTACAACGAAAAGTTGTAAACTTTTCATAAACACACCTATATAGCTTGTATCATCATTAGACATAATGATGTTTTAAAACAAACAAAAACAGATAACTTGTCGATATATCTAGATGGCAAGAACAGGTAACCCGGATATTTGAGTAGGCCTCCTCAAACAATAGAGAAATCAAATTAACTTTACTATATGATTATTCATGGATCTTTTCTGGTGAAATAAACAGAAATTTTTGTAATAAAACCGATAATTGATTTATTCCAAAAGACATTTTTCTTTATCAATTTATTGATTGAGCAAATTTTTCAGCATGTACCAAGCTTATGATCCAAAAATATCAAGATGTAAGTATCCCATAAAATGTTTCTGATATTTTGCATTGGACAGAGTTTTTTTCTTTTTCAGATTTGTAGTATCGGTTGGTATGTTAGGCTCATATACTTTATTCTAGCTTCTGGCTAAGCCATTTCTCCTATCCATTATGAGTCATGTTTTCATCTTGTCAATTATTCATTGTGTTGTGTTTAGCCTTCTTATCTTATTTATCACATTTCTGTTATTTATTCTTGTCTAACTAGAAATATTGATTAACGCTTGATTAAAATGAGTTGGCTTACCTGCCATCTCCAATGCATGTCATTCTTACTTCGCTGGCTGATATTTACTCATGTGTTGATAACTTTCTGGCCTGCGTCATTTTTCAATAAAACTGTAGCTGCCGCTTCTCTTTGCCTTCTGATATTATGCACCGTTAAGGTTGGTATTATAACGGTTATCAGGGTGATCGATTAATGAAGCACGGCACTACAGATTTTGTTATCATACAATAAAGAAAAAATAATCATAATGGTCTATATCATCCATTTGTGATGCTAGAGAAGATTTGTAGCTCAAGTGGATGATTTTGATGGAGCTCAGAGAATAAAACTCCATCAAAATAATCTGTTTGTTTTTACAATAATGAATGTTTACTTTCAAAATGTTTATGTTTGAAATGAATTCTCTAATTGTAAAGTCTACTATTAGTTAAATGAGTTAATTTTACATTTTGATCACGTTATCATTGTACTAATTGGATGTATGGCATAGTAGTATTACATTTTGGATAACCCATATGTTTAAAGGTCAGCTACTTTTTTTGGCAGTGATGATAAGATGATAACATATAACAAAAAACTCATAAAAATCGAATCCAGTATGATGCTATTAGTGTAATTTAATAAAAGATGGCGAAAAAGATCGAGAAGTTAACACCAATAAATTGATTTTAAAAGTTATTAGCACATACATGAGGAGATTGAGACAGTAAACTACGGCCGGTTTTAGGAAGTGTGATAATCTGCTGTTGTTTTGATTATTCATTCTTAGAAGTTAAGTAAATGAGTCACATTGCAAGTATCATTCATACATTCGTACATGGCACTGTTGTTAGGCGATTCTTTGTTATATCGATTGGGTGAGTGTGCATTCGTGTGCCCTGTTTGATATATATGACCGCCTATCAGAGAGCAGTGATTTATCGATCAGAGCAATGATACACAAAAAAACGGTATGAGCAGTCTTGAGTACTTATCAGTCCTGCTTTCTGACTAGCCCAACCAGTTAAGTCCAGAACACCAATAACAACCTCTGCAATATGAGTCATTATTCACAAACATACTGGGTTTATATATACCAAACAAACTGACCACATCCTACCATAAAATAGAAAATAATATTTGTACAATAATTGATCAAATGTGGCTGTAAATAGGGGGAAAGTAATCAATAGACTCAAGAATGGTAAATCGTATAATAATAGTTCATAGGTCAAAATAAGTCTCATAATAAAAGAAATATAATTATGAATAGTTAAGTTATTTAGCAATTATACAATAGGAAATATACATATTACATTGGTCCATAAATAGTCCACAGAGTTACCATTCATAATTCTCCATGGGATACATTCTTAAAGTGTTTATGTTTAAAAAGTCTTAATTCACTAAGGGAATTTTCAACTTATTATTTCCAATCCTTTTTAAATTCACCGAAATCGTGGACAAATAAAGATAAAAGGTATATTATTTCAACACTTTCTGCTAACTGTAAATATAACCCATATAAAACACTTCAACAGTATACTTCGTCACCCTGATGAATTACATTTTACATTTGATTAGAGAGCTAATATTTATGGTTTAAAAGATCAACCAGTATAGGACATAGTATTTTAAAAAGTACTAAACCCAAGACTTACCTAGAATGTAAAATTATTTGTTTTCTTATTTGAACCGTTGGTAAAAACATACATTATATAATCCGTACAATTGTTATCATTGCCTTAATAATTGATTTTATATAGTTGAAATCATGAGTTAATTGAAGCTAGACCATCATGGAAAACCCCGAAAGCACTGGACGGCCCTTCTAATAATGATCATATGCTCACTAGTGACTGGCTCTATGAGGTATTTCCTAAAGTTCAAGTGAGAAGCACTGACCAGTGGAGTTCAACCAGGTCTGTTGTGAGATATCAACTCACTGAAGACAATGGTGAATGGTTGCTCAATTTTATGGATTGATTGAAGTTAGATATTAACACCGTTGAATGCCGGCTCTAGAGGCTAAGCGCTCGTTCGTGAGACTGGTAGGTCCTGGGTATGAGTCTTGCGGGGCGGGATCGTTGATGCTCACTGTCGAAGATTCCCGCAATAGAACGAAACGGCCGTCCAGTGTTTCCAGGTTTTCCACGGTGATCTAGCTGTAATTGACTCGTGATCTTAACTATATAAATCTGAATTTTGATCTAAATACAAATGTATTTGTATAATGGTAGATATACAGTGGATGAAGGTGTAATTAGGACTCAGTAATGTAAACGTTTTAATGATTTAAAAATGAACATTTCATTATTACTAAAACAACCATTAGTTATTAAAGTTTACACAATACAGACATTGACCATGTCATCTTTGAAATATCAAGTAAAAGTACTTTTGATCTGTAGGTGCTATGTAAATTTAGTGAAATAAATAAAAATGAGCTAGTTAAATAAACACAGAATAAGTCAGTCTCATAATCCCCCTTAAACATCCTTTAAATAGTAAAAGTCAGAAGACAAAATCGTTATTCTGCTCATTTTTTAGCTCTGAAATTTAATGATAAACACTTTTTAAGATAACTTCAGGCACTTCATTAACACAAACGTCCATATACATATTATCCTCTATGATAATCTTCATGGTATATGAACCGACAAAACAATTACAAACTATTTGTCAGTGCTCATGTTTGACATATGTGTTAAGCTAATTCAGCTTTACATAATAGCAAAAGTACGGTTCTTTCCAGCCAGTACTAAACATTAGTAAACGAGAAATTACAAGTAACGATGGAATTTCTGTATTCTTCATATACAAGACAGAGTTCAGAGGTGAAATTAACAAAAGACATAGATACTGTTAACAAATAATCTTTCTATGTACTGAGGTATTTCCAATGATCTTCTCTAAGCTGGATGGTTTGGTAGAGAAACTTTCATTGAGTTTCTATACTCCAGGAAAAGCTTATAAAGATAATTGAATTCTTATAAGTTCAAGAGATTGATTGGCTTGCTACATTGACTAACAACACATTTAATTTACCTTCATTTGTCTTCATGTTGAATATTATTATAAGAAACACATTAACGTATTCTATATACTTTTAGTTTTAACGTTGGACCTGCGCATATTGTGGCATTCTCCAGTGAATTATATTACTTTTTATTTTATGGATGGAAAACGTTAGTGATGCAATATGACTGGTTGTATAAGGATTTACTAGTAAGATTAATCTCCTTTAATATTTCATTATGAAGTATATCTTATTTTATATACCATTATGCTTTTTGAAAGCATACAAAAAATATAATCCGCAAATCTGTTTGAAAAAGTCAAGACATTGTATCATTCATAACAAATTCAGTTTAGTTGAACAAAGATGAATAGTGGCTAACAGTGAAATCCAGGACGCGCGTCTTGTCCTACTCGTGACTCGTTAGCTAGATATACCTACATCCCAGAGTTGATGTTCACTCCGGGATTTCAACCAAGTACCGTTCACTTCAAACACCATCACGTTATTCACTTAACTACTAAGTCCTGATAGCCATTTGTTTGTGCCATATTTGCTTATAATACTTGTGAATTACGGCAATATCGAAGCGATAGACACAATAGCACATATGCCAATAAGAGGCTAATAGATTGCAGTCCTAAATATTAGTGGGAAGATTCAAACAAATAATACGAAATGAATTTATTGGTAGTGTGTTTATATACTATGTATAGAGTAAATATTTAGTAAATGGTTCAAACTAAATCAATAAAAGCATTCTAGTCTATTTGGAAGCATAATGTGAATCCTTAATTTGTATAATGTTACGATGAAATAGAAATTAAAACAAGTTTCGTCACACAAAGCTATGACAATTTAACTCACCAAACCGAATAACCGGTAAATATAACTGAAACGAAAATATGAGTTTCATCAAAAGTTTAACTTTTTGAGCCTGACAATAATATGAGCGAGATTATAATTTATGGACGACCTTTGAGCGATACTAAAATGACTTTGAGAATATCCACCTACATACAGCTAAATGAGTGTCATAAATAAGTGTGAGGAATTAGGATTTGTATTCACAGTTAATGGGTAAAGTTAGGAAGTATATTTAGGGTTATTATCACGAAATGGCATTGGCTATAATGCCAAAACTTTATTTATCCAAATATATGAATGAAACTCACTACAAAATCCAAGATGTTTTATAACTGATTGGTTAGTCCATAAATTATAGTCTCGCCAATTATTTCTGTCGAACTTTGTGGCTTGTTAATTATTTTCGGTTCTTTTAAATGCGCTGAATATTACCTTCAAAAATAAGCTTTGGAACATCACGCTTTAGAGAAATGGCACACTTATAATTGGATCATGGTTATTTGAATAGGTACTCCTTCCAGTCATAAAGAATGGTGAAGCCTAGTAAGCCCTTCTGGAGAAGAGTGCTACCTTGAAACACGGCACAACTACCGGGGCGGGATAGCTGTTTCTGCACTCCTTACGCAGAACCATTACATAACACTCACAACCCTTTGATTTTCTTTTTGTTTTTGCTTTTGTTTGGGCAGACTCATTTTTTACCACTCTTTTGAACCCTCAATAGTTATGCAATGACTCTTTGTAGCATTCGTAATCGTTTTCGGGTATTGGTAGAGTGATTGGTTAGACCGATCTCTACCACCCTCATTACCGCTCACGTTAGTACATGGGATGGTTGCCATAATCTAGGAGGCACGAGGACGTGTGAATCGGATTTTGCCTCCATTTAAATAGGTATATTTTTTTACACCGAAAAACATATATTCTGAATTCTATGCTTAATAAGTTAATGGTTAATTTATGGAATTCCGCTTGAATACATATATATGTGTCACTGAATACTGGGGTAATTAGTCACTAAGATAGTTAATAACACAACTTAAGTCATGCAGACTAATAAATAACTTGATTTGTGATTGTGCTTATATCCAAGTCTTAATTTGATTCTCACCATCGAATTTGCAATAAGGTCACAGAACTATGTCGAACCCACGTAATGTACTTGAATAGAATCTTCATGTATATGTTGACAGCTGTACAGTACCGACTAATGACTAACATGAGAAGATTAAGTCTACAAAGATAAAAATCAGCCTTATCATATACATATATTTGATTTTCACCAGTGTATGATTTCACTCTCCGTAGTTATTTGACAATCAGTTTTGTCGCGCTTATTTCTTCCAAGGAAGCGAATACACCAGAAAATAGAAAAAATCATCCATGGATTATTGTAATAGGTCATAGACCAATGTATTGTTCAAATAATTTTGATCCGATGCATTGTGATTTTGAGAATAATATTGTACGCACTGGATTCGACATATCACCTAGCCAGCATCACAGAGTATACCTTATGGGACTGGAAAACTTATTTTATCAGTATGGTGTGGATTTAATCATTGCTGGTCATGAACACTCATATGAAAGATTTTGGCCAGTTTACAATAGAACCGTAAGTTTATACATATATAAAAATATATATAACGGTTGTAATTGATTGCCAAGCAATACTTGATCTAAGTTTCGTGTTAGTAACCATTCTTCAGTATGAATTATTTGCAGTTTTAAGGGAACTTGTGCTCCTTATTATATTCAAGCTCATCATGTTTGAGCTATTTAAACTAATATTTACATTGCAGCTTTATCGATAGAATTTGATAAAATAAGTTCGTGATTATAAATAACCAACTGGTCATTAACAATATATTCCATTATTATCAGAAAAGGAATTTGTGGAGATTGCATTGAGTTATTAGTTGAATTCATGAGTCAATTAAAGCCATAGCACCATGGAAAACCTAGAAGCACTTGACAGCTGTTTGGTTCTAGTATGGCACTCCTCAAAAGTGCGCATCCACGATCTCGCACGCGGGATTCAAATCCAGGACCTTCGATCTCGCGCGAGAACGCTTAACATTTAGACCACTGAGCCGGTATCCAACGGTGTTAATATCTATTGAGTTAATCTTGTTAATCTAATGAGAAGTCGTGACCAGTGGAATTCAACCGTGTAGGTTGTGAGGTAGTAACTCACTGAAGACAATGGTGGATGGTGGTGCAATTTCATGGAATACATTTTATCGTTAAGAATAGAATTATCCATGAGTTTGTCATATCTATATATTCAACGGTTATATAAAAATGAAATTTGAAGTTGAATAAACTGTTCAACAGGTTTGATATACTCAAAATGACACTTTTTAAAGTTTAAGCAATAAAGTTTGGTTACTAGTATTTTTTGATCCATAAGTCTTCAGTAAGAAATAATACTTGTTTGCGTCCTCCGATTGTTGTTTAGGACAACAATTGATCAGTCTCTTATTGGCATACAGGGATCGCATGATGATCACCTCGATACTGCCTTAAGTCAAAGGCATTCTAAGCAAAGATGGAAAGTGGCTAGCACTGGGATCTAGGATGCGCGTTTCGTCCTATTTTGGATTCATCAGCATAGGATGCGCATATGCCAACAAGAAACTGATCAATCGCAGTCCTTTACACCAATGAGAAGATTCAAGTAAACAATAACAATTGAATTTAGACTTCACCCCACTTCACAAGCAGGTGGCTATCAGCAATCGGTAGCCAATTGGACAACGCGATGACGTTTGAAGCGAACAGTACTAGGTTCGAGTCCTGGAGTGGACATCAACTAATAGATGCAGACACATCCAGGTGACGAGTTCCAAATAGAACGAAACGTGCGTCCTGAATTACACTGCGAGCCACCGTCCATCTTTGTTTTAGAAATATTTGTTTTAAAGCGTATTGTTATTCCTCACTTAAGTGACATAATAATTAACACTATAAAGAACTATGATTTTTATCTTTTTACATCAAAGATCCTATTAAACCGAGAAAAATTTTTAGGCTACTAGGATCAATAGATGAACGTTTGTAACTGTAGAACTGATTAATCATTACGGTTAAATGATATACGGTCTTACTGCTGAGTAGTGAATAAAGTTAATACTCAATGATTATATAATATATTTTATAGTTGAAATCATGAGTCAATTGAAGCTAGACCACCATGGAAAACCTGGAAGCACTGGACGGCCGTTTCGTCCTATTGTGGGACTCCTAAGCAGTGTCCACGACCTCGAACCCAGGACCTACCAGTCTTGAGCCAGAGCCCTTAACCGATAGACCACTGAGTTGGCATCCAACGGTGTTAATGTCTAAAAATAGTTTGTTCTCACCTTAAACCTACCCTGGTAATATTATATTATCGAAACAGGTCATAAGATTGATTTAACTCGGTTTTTGTGGTATTGTATAAAAGTGTAAAAGGGCATATACTAAGGTTTATTGAAGCCTTAGTCATACGAAAATTCAATACCCCTTTGTGTATTCAAAACAGTTTGTTCTCTCCTAAAACCTACCCTGGTAATATTAGCTTATTAGCCAGAGTGATTAGGCTTTAAATTGTTTTCTCATTATTTTTATTATTATTGTCCTTATCTACTCTTACCTCCCATTTCCAGTCTAGTTGATCTTTTATTTTGATACATAAATGTTCTTAACAAGTATATGTGTGATCAGATTATTCGAAATGTATTGCACATAGTTCTGATAATCTTCGCCTTCTTATTACATTATCGAAATTTATCAAAGAGACTAATTGCTTTAAACATGATGTAATCTACAATTACTTATATACTACTTATATATAAATATATTACTTATATTGATTCTTTGACGTTTATATAAACTAATTATTATATTCAATAATCAACTCAATATTTTTCAATAAATACTTCACTTACGTTACTATGGTTACATATTTAGCATTACCATTTACAATGACAGTATTTTCAACACATGGTATACTTTATAATGTTCATATAATTAGAATAAACTGTTCCATTTGTTCGTCTGATAACTTAACATATGGCTGTTGTCTTATATAATTCAATTGAATTAATAATACTGATTCATTTTTCAATAGTATCAATGTTTAAATGTTTATATTTTAGGTTTGTAATTCTACAACAAGTGAAAATCCATATGAAAATCCAAATGCTCCAGTACATATTGTCAGTGGAGCTGCTGGATCAGATGAAGGTAAAGATACATTTATTTATGGTGGAAAACCTTGGTCAGCATTTCGTACAACTGATTTTGGATATACTAGAATGACAATACATAATGTTACTCATTTAGAAATTGAACAGATTTCAGTGGAAAATGTAAGTGTTATTCTCTTATTTATTTAAAATACTCAAATTGTTGTGGTTTGTGTTATAACATGTGCGTGCGTGAGTATGTGTGCCCTATTTGATATATGAACGTGATATGACCGCCACTCAGAGAGCCCAATGATACACAAAAGCCGTATGAGAAGTTTTGAGTACTACTCCGTCCTGCTTTCTGCCTAGCCCAGCCAATTAAGTCCAGAATACCAATAATAGCCTCTGCAATATGAATCATTATTCACAACATACTGGGATTATATACCAATCGTACCATAAAATAGAAAATAACTTATGTACAAGATTTGGCCAAATGTGGCTGTGAATAGGGGGAACAGTGATCAATAGACTGATGATAACTCAAGAATCGTATAATAATAGTTCAAAGGTCAAAATGAGGAACACGAATATGAATAGTTTAGTTACTTAACAATTATAGAATATGAAATATACATATCACATTGATCCATAAATAGTCCTCAGAGTTACCATTCATAATTCACTAGGGAATATAACAGTTTGTTTATGTTTCTTTACAAATAACAATGTAGTGTGACTATCGGTTGATACATCGAGTTGGAACTATGAAACAATCATTTAGTTGGCAACCTGAAATAGTCCCTGTAATATGAAGTGAACTGACTGTATCGAACTTTGAGTCAAATAGATAACGTACTGGGAAGTTTATTAATATGTTTATTAATGTAGGGATAATGCACCGAAAAAAACTACTTCTTAACTGAATTAACAGTGATCGCAGCTTAATTCAAGCTAATTAGTTCGATCATATTATACTTCAATACTATACAGAGAATCTCCAAGAACACACAAAAAACTTTTTATTCCCTGAGAATTTTAGGGAGTGGAAACTTTATCTAATCAGAGTAGAAAATTTACTTCCTATAACTATGAACATCAGCTGTATTATTATTACTATTAATAATATTATATAGAGTTGAGATCATGAGACAATTGAAGCTAGCCTCGCGAAATTCGAACTTAGGACCTATCACTCTCGCGCCAGAGCACTTAACCGTTAGACCACTGAGGAGAAGCGGGATCGTGGATGCGCACTGCCTGAGGAGTCCCACAATAGGACTAAACGGCCGTGCAGTGCTTCCAGGTTTTCCATGATGGTCTAGCTTCAATTGACTTATGATCTCAACTCTATAAAATTACTAAAATCTCCACCAAACCCCTTCTGAGTCTGAATAATAACCAATCTCTTAAAAATAACTTGTTATCATTTAAGTAATATTTACGTACAACAATTAACTTTTCTTTATTATAATAAAATATCAATCAATTACTGATAATTAACAGTTTGAATTCTATCAAGAACTACTTGAGATTAGAATAAACCTTCAACTAATTAGTGAATTAAATTCAGTTGGTATTGTTTACTTGAATATTCCCATTGATGTGTAGGACTGCAATTGATCAGTCTCTTATTGGCATATGTGTACACTTTGCGTATTGCTTCGATATGGCTTTATTTCGCAAGCATTCTAAGCAATGATGGACAACAGCTACTAGTGGAACCCAGGACGCATGTTTCGTTCAGTTTGTGACTCGTTAGCTGAATGTGCCTGCATCTCAAAGTTGACGTTCACTCTGGGCATATTGCCTCGATACAGCCTTAATTCACAAGGATTATAAGCAACAAATAACATTTAGAATAGTTTTCACCAGTAAAAATGTAGGACAAAATCCAGTCCCAGAGTAAACATCAACTCAGAGATGCAGGTACATCCAGCTGACGAGTCCCAAATCGGAAGAAAGGCACATTCTGGATTTCACTCATAGCTACTGCCCATCTTTGCTCAGAATACTTGCGAATTAAAGCAATATCGAGGCAATACGCACAGTATGCACATATGTCAATAAGAGACTGATCAATGTCGGTCCTATACATCAATGGGGAGATTCAAACAAACAATACCAAGTGACTTTAAACTTCAACCTATTGCACAAGCAGGTGGCTATCAACACTCAGTAGCCATTTGGACAACGCGATGACGTTTTTTTATTTAGGACCTACTCATAGAAATAATAAGCAACTTGGAATAATTTGTAAACTGTATAATTGATAAGGTAATCTCTAAATGTATAGATGAACATCTATTTGGCAAAACTGACCTTAATAAGACAAAATAGTTGTGTTTACGTTTTTTGTGACTTTTACAATGAATGATAGAGCTCAACTAACGGTTATTGTGTTTATTTTCCATATTTCTAAAGGAAAGAAAAGGTCAAGTGATTGATTCCTTCACAATCATCAAGGATAAACATGGGCCAGGTTTATATACTTGTCATAATCAAGATTCATTTGATTACTACGATATTCTAGATGTTTAATTGTTGTTGTCATATAATTCTCAACAATCAACATATTGTTTTCCTATTTCAAACTATGTGATTATTACTTTTGAGTGTAATATATTTTTTATGTCATTATGTTAGTCTTCAATGAAATATGCTTCCAGACGATTGTCACTTATGAAGTATTGACCGTTTATATATACCTGTTTCTCATTAGCTGCATACAACCCATAATGTCTTTAAATCGAAATACAATTACAGTTTAACATGGCTCTAGAATTGACGTTTGTTAGAATTTGCTTTAGACACTAGACACTAACATGGTGCAAATGAACATTATGTACTTTACTTTACTTACGCCAGTTACCTGTGGTGGAAGAGCATAGGCTACCTACCAGCATTCTCCATCCAACCCTGTCCTGGGAAATCCTTCTCAGTTCTTTGCAGTTGCTATTCATCCTTTTCATGTCTCCTTCCAATTCACGAAGCAGTGTGTTTCTTGGTTTTCCTTTTTTTCCGTTTCTCTTCAGTATTCCAAGTTAGGGCTTGCTTCGTGATTCAGTTTTGTGATTTCCTCAGTGTGTGTCCCATCCACCTCCAATGTCTTTTCTAATTACCTCTTCGACTGGAAGCTCATTTGTTCCCTCCCACAGTAGCCTGTTGCTGATGGCATCCAATCATCTGAAATTTGAATATCTTACATAAACAATTGTTTAAAAATACTTGTACTTCTTTGATGTTGATTGTAGTAGTTCTCCAAGTTTCAGATCAGTACAGTAGAACTATCTTGACGTTCTTATTTGAAGATTTTCACTTTGAAGTTAGTTGACAGTTGTTTTGAGTTCCATATGTCCTTCAATTGTAGGAATGTTGTCCTTACTCTGTCAATTCTCGTTATCACGGTCACATCTGATTCTTCATGTTCATTGATTATGCCACCCGATCACTTGTAACTTTCCACCTGTTCCAGAGTTTCGCCATCAAGTGTGATCGGGTTAGTGTTCTCCGTGTTGTGTTTGACGATCTTGCATTTTCCCTTGTGTATGTTAAGGTTTACTGATCTAGAGGCTGCTGATACACTAGTTGTCTTCATTTGCATTTGTTAGTGTCTATGGAATGAATGGGCCAGGTCATCTGCGAAGTCTGAATCGTCTAGTTTATTCTGATTTGTCTATTGTATTCCGTGTTTTTTCTCAGATGTCGAGGTCTTGATAATCCGGTCGACCATCAAAATAAAGAGAAATAGAGAGTGGAAGCAGCCTTGTTTGACTCCGCTCCTTACTTGGAAAGCGTCTGCCAGCTGTCCACCATGCCCCACTTTGCAATGTAGTCCATCGTATGAATTCTGAACGATGCTGACGATTTTCCCAGGTACACCATAGTGTCGAAGAAGTTTCCATAATTTTCTCCTCTACACACTGTCAAATGCCTTCTCAAAATCAAGGAAGTTGATGTAAAATGACGAGTTCCACTCAAATGATTGTTCAACGATGGTCAGTAGTTTCGTGATTTGGTCTATGCACGACCGATCTCTATGGAATCTAGCCTGTTGATTTCGAAGTTGGACGTCTATCGAGTCGTTCCTCCGGTTGAGTAACGCTCTATTTAAAACTTTTCCTGGTACTGATAGTGTGATGCATCCGTTGTTCTTACATTTGCCCAGTTCCCCTATCTATCAAAAAAATATGATCCAACTTAATAGCAACTTCCTTTTCTAAAATGTGAATACGAAGAGTCGTGATTTTTTACTTGAATACATGTTACATATCACTGTAGCTTATATGCAGTCATAAGAACTTACACTGAGATATAATTCGCTTTTATATCTACTACAGACTTTTTGGGTACTAGGAATCATTAGATATGTGACAGTAAAATCATCTAAAATTGAATGACGTTTTATTAGTTCTCTACTTGTGAACAATTTCAAGTGGTATTATAGACATTTCTACTTTTTATACATGTCTATCACATTTAATCAATATATCTACTTGCATCTATATTACTTCCTGTTTGCTAGTATTGGTGATTGGAATAAGTCACACAGTGTTATGGTTTGTTTATATTCGTTTCTCCATGTCGAATATTAATGCCATTCAGCTTAATTTTCAGTTATAAAGTTTTCTGTTATGCAGAAACTATTTAACAATCGTTCCGAATTTTGCATCTCTAAATTAATTAATCAGCAGTATAAACTGTATTGTTATGTAATAGCACCAATCGAGTTACAATTTTTTTTGTAAAAATGCATTACAATAAGATGAAATGCAATTCATATTTTCCTATAATTCTAGTAGGCTAGACATTAACATCATTGGATGCCGGCTCAATGGTCTATCGATTAAGTGCTCTGGCGCGAGACTGGTAGGCCCTGAGTTCGAATTTCGCGGGGTGGGGTCGTGGATGCACACTGCTGATGACTCCCACAGTAGGACGAGTTGGTCGTCTAGTGCTTCCAGGTTTTTCATTGTGGTCTAGTTTCCATTGACTCATGATTTCAACTATGAAAATTTACAAAGGCAAATCATAAGTGTATTTGAATAATATAAATCACAATAGAATATAATTTGACAACATTAATTAACTTATTAAATGTCTAGTTTAAGATGAAATTATAATAAGATTATAGCACATTATATTGATTGTATGTGTTTAAAAAATAAATTAATATATTTACAATTGATTGATCACTGATCACATTGTCTTTCCCTTGATATTAATAACACCTAAATGATCGACCAATTCAAAAGAATTCTTCAGAGAATACTTGCATAAACGTCTTCGAATAGGATCCAGCAATTTTATTATCCACTTAGATAGGTTATGTGTAGTGATTGGCACATTGATAAAATTGGGTGTAAAAGAATATTTGATTTGTGAATTTTAGGTAGATACTCAGAACCCATAAGTTTTAAGAAATCAAATTCCTCTTTATCAATAATATTCATGTGTGACAATTTTTCGAGGTTTGAATTTACTCTTCCCTCTAGTTTGTTAATACCTCCAAATTCAACTTCAGGCATGAATTTACTTTCATCACTGACGATGAATAACTTCTTACTCTTATATTCACATTTGTTCATGATGCCCACGTCTGATCCTTTATCAGGCTTCAGCGAGACAATATCAAGATTTGTTCGTAGTTCTTTTAGTGATTTAAAATGTTGCGCTACTGAACTAACTCTCTACTAGTTGAGTATTCTACAGAATATAATCTGAAGGGTTTTATGGAGATTTTAGTATTTTCATAGTTGAAATCATGAGTCAATTGAAGCTAGACTACCATGTAAAACATGGAAGTACTAGACAGCCAAATCGTCCTATTGTGGGACTCCTCAGCAGTGCGAATCCACGATACCGCCTCGCTACCAGTCTCGCGTTAGAACACTTAACCGATAGACCACTGAGCCGGCACCCAACGGTGTTAATGTGTAACGTCAAACAATCCACCATTTTGAGCAACCGTTCACCAATTGTCTTATGTATGTAATCTGTCGTGAACTCTTGTTTTCCTTAGTATGAAAGGTATCCGGGCCAAAGTTATTTAAAATTTATCTAGTAAAGCAAATTGTAAATAAAATTTCCACAATAAAACCGTCAATGTTTTTTTAAATTTTTTGAGATTGAATTAAAGTAAACAAATTTCTTCTAAGTAAGTTTAACAGTTTCTCTGTTGTAAACTAAAAATTGTCAGTTTTTCGATCAACTACTTACTCCGGGACTATAAAATCGATCCTAAATTCACTTACTGAGCTTTTAGAACATGAATTCAGATATGCACGACTTATTTTATTTCCTAAGTTAACATGAGGAAATGCGTTAACTTTATATTCGTTATGCAAGTTGATAATAATTGTTAATGGAAAAAATATGGTTGAAGTTAGACATTAACACCGTTGGATACCGGCTCAGTGGTCTATCGGTTAAGTGCTCTGTCGCGAGACTGGTAGGTTCTGGATTCAAATCTCTCGAGGTGGTATCGGGGATTCGCACTGCTGAGGAGTCTCACAATAGGACGAAACGACGTCCAGTGCTTTCAGGTTTTCCATGGTTGTCTAGTTTCAATTGACTCATGATTTCAACTAGGAAAAATATATTTCCCTAGGTTTTAGACTATTTATTTTTAAAATCAGTAGTATAAACCTTTTGTAAACAATTGTGGACATGACGGGTTTGAGATATATATCCATAAAATAAAAAATATTGGTTCAATCAAGAAATTTCTTTTCAGCAAATCTACTTAACGAGCAGAATAATCGCGAATCTATACTTATTTTTCAAAATGATAATACTGACAATAATGGTGGTGATAAAATCTTGTAAATTATGGTAACCGTGAAGCAAAATAAAGGTACGAAAACGCGATTTTAATGAAGGGAACTATTAGATTTGATTGATATCCGATCATGAAGATAGACATAGAATGATAGCTGAAAAAGGAAGGCTCAGTGTGAAATGACCAAATGGTAGATTTGAGATGTACTGTTAACAAATTATTTGAGTATCAAAGATTTATAGTGATTCTAGTGAAGCGGATGGCTATGAACAAATAAAAGAATAAAAATTATGAAAGATCGAGGCAATTTTAGAAGAACTCACACGGGTTTTTTATGTATACATAGCTCTGAGTCTTCCAAATGTGTGTTAAATGCTTCGGCAATGCTAAGAAATTGAACGTTAGAAATCTTAGATTTTCCTCAAGTTCTGTGGTTTTAATGGATACACATCATTCAGGTTCATAAGTCAAGTTCAAATAATCATAGTTTAACTTACTAGACGAACGTTTAATTATATATATCCTTTCGTAATGCAATGATAAATAGTAACAGTTTAAAACCATCAAAAAGTTAAGAATACATTATTATCAACAGTTTGTAGTACTAAAACATTTTTAAAATGGGGAGTGGTCTCCAAATTTATGGGTAAATTTTAGGATGAAGACGGCATTTTATTAAAATGTTTCGTGCTTATAATTATAATACATAGGTTTATTCAACGAAAACCAGTGAAACATTCAGAACTCCTGGAAAAATGAA